GATTTGGAGGTGGTTGGAAAAATGCACATTTCTGATATTTTCACAGGTTACAAAATATACTATTGGAGAGTATATAGACAGCACCGCACAGCAACAGCACATTCATCCAATACAATAGAAGATAGCTCTCCGAATACAATTCATCATATTAGTCTCCGAATTCAAAAGACTGAACAAAGATAGAACATTACAAGTCTCGAGACCGCGAGTAGCGAGTTTGTCTTCACATTACAAGTCGATATCGATCATCTAAACTACCATCACATAGAAGAGAGTTGCGGTCATCACGATGAAACTGGTCTTCATCCGGTTCCTCCAACGCTCCCTCCTCTCTCCCGCTAGATAGCGGGCGTATCTAGATTCCGCCTCCGCCCTAGTGGTGTACCCTTTGTAACTGTTACGGCTGAAACGGTGAACCTGTCTCCAACACTCCTCCCAGTCGTCGTAGACTCCGGGAACCTTATCCTTGTACACGACATACGACGGCATCTCTATGCACAAGCCAAACAACAGACAATACATAAGCAATAAATAAGTATGCAGCAAAAGGATCGGAAGAGAAAAGCAAGACATTAATAGCACAATTCATGGTCCTAGTAATAAATAGCATCGATTATATCTAAGTTTAACGACTGTCCAAACCAAAGAGACATACAATTCATTAAAGTTTAATAACAACATGAGCCAATCAATGTTTCAGAACTACACATAGCATCACTACTTTTGACTCGACTCATGGGACCGGAGCGTGGATGAAGCCGCCGTCTGTCCTGATGGTCATGAAATCGCGAGCGTTGTCAGCCTGCATTTGTAGTGTTGTGTCTATCTCACTGCACAGAACACGGAATGTTAGAAGAAATAAAGAACGATCGATGGATGCTTTTTTGCTGTTTTGGCTGATGTTGTTTTGGTGCTGTTTTCGTGCCATTTAGGATGGCTGCAGTGACTTTTTGGTGCCATTTTTCATCTCTTAATATGGTTGCAGTGAGAGCAAAATATGGCTGTTATTTTTTTTGTTTTGTTTCAGAAACAGGACAAACCAAAGGGCCCATGTCTCCCCTCCAGATTTTTCGAGGGCCAAAGGGCAGGACGTTTGAGTTTTTGAGGCAACTCCCCACGCCTCCCTTCCACTGGCAACTCCCCACGACTCCCCTCCACTGGCAACTCCCCATGACGCAGGGAACTCCCCTCCTATTCCATTGCCGCTCAATCTGCCTCCCTCCTCATTCCATTGCCGCTCCATCTTCCTCCCTCTGCCTCCACCATCAAGCAACTCCCCTCTGCCTCCACCATCGCTGGCCAGGAGTGCAATGGCGGAGGAATCGTGGAGCAACTCCCCTCCGTCTACCAAGAGAATGGCGAAGGCATCGGGGAGCAACTCCCCTCCGTCTGCCAAGCATCACCAAGGTGAGGCGTCTGGCAAGGAGCCACTGGTGGTCGACGACGACGTTCCAGTCCCCGGGCAGAAGCAGGACTACACCGTGAAGCTCATGGTTGATATCCACCTGAAGGAGAAGCTGGATGTCGTATGCACCAGCAATCTAGACGAAGCCGACAAGAGGATCCACGAGATCAGGAGGAGGCTCGGCGGCATGTTTCCTCGGTCGATCGGCGTTGATGTCGAGTATACGAGGGAAGATGAACCTCCGCAAAAGGCTGCAGTTCTACAGTTATGCGTGGAGGATCTTGTCCTGGTATACCACATCACCGCGGCAACCAAATGGTAAAAACATCCAGTTCTGAAGTTTCTGAAGTTCTGACGTTTCTGTCTAATTAGTAATTTCTGAAGTTTCTGAAGTAGACGCAATAGTTCTGTAGTTCTGAAGTAGATGCAATACTAGTTCTGAAGTTCTGAAGTTTCTGTCTAATTAGTAGTTTCTGTAGTTTCTGAAGTTTCTGAAGTAGATGCAACAGTTCTGAAGTTCTGAAGTAGATGCAGTACTAGTTCTGAAGTTCTGAAGTTTCTGTCTAATTAGTAGTTTCTGAAGTTTCTCAAGTAGATGCAATAGTTCTGAACTTTCTGAAGTTTCTCAAGTAGATGCAATAGTTCTGAAGTTCTGAAGTAGATGCAATACTAGTTCTGAAGTTCTGGAGTAGATGCAATACTAGTTCTGAATTTTATGTCTAATTAGTAGTTTCTGAAGTTTTTGAAGTAGATGAATTTGATGCACCAGATTAATTTGATGCAGGCCTAAGGAACTCCGCCCGCTCCTGCAGGAGAAGAAGCTCTACACCTTTGTTGGCTTCTCCATTGGAGGTGATAAGGAGAAGCTGAAATTGTCTGGTTTGGAGATCAACCCCGACAAGTACGTCGACATGCAGCGCAAATGGAGAGTTCCAAGGAATGGAAAGAAGTGGCAGGGTTTGGCTGAGTTTGCAGTCAGCCTCATCCACCCATCGTACAAGGAAATGAAGAAGAAGATCAACAACGAATTGGACCACAAACTATGGGGGGGGCAGCTCACTACCAAACAACCTCATCGAGTACGCAGCGAAAGATGCATACGTCACCTACGAGGCATGGAAGAAAATCGATATCGTCAAAGAAGGTTTGGAGTACTGGCAAGAGGCGGAGGATCATTGGGATGACCCCTACTACTGGGGATATTGAGTTGTTTGTGGTATTATGCGTCTCAGTTTGCAGTTGTGTGGTTGAACAAGTTTGCTTTTGTAATGCTGAACAAGTTAGCTTTTGTTATGTTGAACAAGTTTGCTTTTGTAATGCTGAACAAGTTAGCTTTTGTTATGTTGAACAAGTTTGCTTTTGTAATTATGAACAAGTTTGCTTTTGTTATGTAGTTATGTGATTGTTATGATGCTGGTGCAGAACACTTATGGTTGTGATGTGATGCAAAATCCTTCAACTTTTGGTGGTCATTTAGTTCAAGTTTTGGTCAGATCATACAGAATGTTGTCTAGAAGTTTTTGTGATCATTTAGTAGTTTTTTTATACAGAAGCCTTTCACTATAACTGAAAAAGCTGAAGTTATCAGCATGAAGAATCACACAACACATCACCTACATTATGATGATACACTATCAACTGCAGACCTGAATGCATCCAATTCGTCCTTTCCCAAGCAGTGATGGTAACTGAAAGTATAACAACTAAAAACGCAGCTCTACTGTATGTGTCCAATAGTGCCATCATAACAGAACTTTGAAAAGTCCTATATTATACAGTAGCAAGCATCACAAGTTTCAGATGGTGGCACAAAATTGCTACACTCAGTCGATCTACCTAGCATTATCAACATGGATACCATTGAGACGTCAACAGAAACTGGGGTACCTACGTTGTCCTGCGGTGGTTGAGGAGATGGATCCGGCCGATCCCGTTCGGGGGGCGGGGGGTGGCGGGGGTGGAGTCACCGACGGCGTGCAGGGGCGGCGGACAGAGGGGGACGAGTGGGGGATCTGGCGATGGAGGGAAGGAGGCCACAGTGCGAGGGGAATACGTGGAGTGGGGGGAGGGTTCTAATGGCCTACTTCGGATGGGCCTAATTCGGATGGGCCTAATTCAGATGGGCCGTTTCGTTGTTTGCGCCTGAGGCATGCATGCATGGGAATGTCGGCGACGTGGGTTTGCATGCGCGGGTGGCGGACGTGAACTTTACCTATCCGAAATATGTTATGATTTCTACCCGAAAACAAGCTCGCGTGTGATGCTCTCCCGTGCGACGCACGCCTCTCGCGTGATACGCGATTCCGATGCGACTGCGTGCCAAGTTTTATAGATGGAAACTTCTTTAGACACAATGCCATCCCAAAAACAACTCAGAAACAACTGTATGATTGATCATAAAACACATGCATTGTTGTTCAAAGAAATGTCTCATGAATAAATTGTACCATAATTGCGAACATAGTGTGAAACAGAAAACAAAATGTTTGTTTGCAACTAAATAATCCTGGTTTGAAGCTTTAACTGGTTGAAAAACAATTGAGCCTACTCCATATTGTCTTCTGCACTGCCAAAATCCAGTGACCTCTTGCGTTGCATTGTTGGAGATTGCGTCGGGCTTGGCGACGACCCACGTGCTTCAATCTTTTTCTCTTTAACATCAATGTAACCATACAACTTAAGTTGTTCTTGGTCTTTCTCTCCCAACTCTCTAGCAAGACCCTCCATTTCTTGGATTCTCACTTCCTGTAGAAAACCATAGGAATTGTATTAGGAAGAACTCAAAAAAGACATAGGCATAAACTAGATGCATGTAACATGTAAAATTTGAACCTCGGAATCAATGTCATCCTCGGGAAAACAACCCGTAGTTCTATTGTACACAATGTACATGTGACATGTCTTGCTGCCATTCAGATCAGAAAGCATTTTTTGTACATCATCTGGTCCTGCAATCAAGAACATTCCTTCTAGCAGCTTCCACGCAGACCCGGGTAAGAAGTAGTACAGTTCTGCTCCTAGTTTGCAACCAAAAGTATGTCTCATTTCACTCATAATGAGATCGTAGGTAACTTTGGCGGGTTCAAAAATTCTGACTTCTGCCGGGTGTTCATCAAAGTATGCTCTCGGGACATGTGACATCTCATCATCCCTACTAACAAAAAATTCCATGACCAGCACCTAGTATCTCACATCAGAGTTAATACATTCAATGAGTAAAGGGGCAAACATAATTTTTTATGTGCATAGCAACATTGCAGCGTTGTTACCTGCTTTTGTGGAATGTATCCTTCATGTGGAGTGACTGGGGATTATGCCATCTCAAACCTTCTCACCTTATTATGTGGAATGTATCCTTCATGTGGTGTGACTGGGGACTCTGCCATCACAGGTTTCTTATCCTGCGTATGAAACATCGATAGTGGGTTTACACACAAGTTTTGAAAGGTCATACCATATCTTGGGTATGCATCGTTGCAAGGTACTTACAAGGGGAGAATTGACGATATATTGTTGGGGTGGACTGATGTGGCATTGAACGGGTGACTCTATCGCAATGTGTCGAGTGAATGGCGACTGTGCCGTGTCATGATGCTTAGCCTACATACAATCGCCGACATAAGGTTGCCACAAATTGAAGATGTTTATATCATAGAATACGTATTTCCTTAATATATAGAATCGGTGCGAGATACTTAGAGGGGGAGAATAACTGAAGACATGTTGTCGGGGTGGCCGTGAGATCGCACGGTGTTCTAACATATGTCCTTCCAAGCAGACCTTCTCCAGCATGGCCTTATAATCCATGTACGACCGCTCCTGTAGCAGCTTACTGTCGATATTCGCACGTGCCTGCAACACATAGGCATCCATCCTGACTCGCTCTGTCTGTATAATACTGTCCACAAGCTTCCGGTCCTTCTGCAACGTTTGATGCATTTCCTTGTAGCCTAAGACAAACATTTTTTCCATGTGCTCACAGTCCCTCTTATACTTTTCTTCAATCTCAAGACGCATCTTCGCCATCTTAAGGGAAAACTCCTCACGCTCCTCCTTTATCATCCTGTCCACGTATGAACGTTCTTTTTTCAGTTTCTTATCTACCTCAGCGCGATCCTTTTGCACCTTCAAGTCGATCTCCCGACGCGCTTCATGCAAGGACTTGTCGTACTCCGCACGGTTGTTATGCGCCTCTGAGACCATGGTCCCTACAGCAACACATATACCCATAGTATGAAAACTGTATCCACACCCTCATCCAATTAATTCGAAACAATACGACCATGAAAAAATATTCATAATAAGTTCGTACGATCAACTAGTACAAACTATCAATCAAAAAGCTCTTGCTTGACATCCTGTACTCGAATCACAACAGAACTAGTCAACTATGGCAAAAGCTGGATTTTCTAATCTCTTCGAAAATTACTTGTTGGTCGAATCAATGGAAAAAATAATCAGCACTGCAATCGAAGATGAGAGAAGCCGGGGAAGAGACCTTTTTAATCCGGCGTCGGCGTGGTCGCTTGAGAAGCGATGGCGCGATCCCGGCGATTGCTATGTGAGGAGAAACAAGGTAGATGGGGGTGGTTAGGATAGGGTAGATATGCGGTAGAATGGGAAGGTCTATATCCGTGATTGTAGGGTTAATTAGTTATTTTGAAGTAATGCGCGTCGATGCAAGTTTTTTTTAACGAGCACGATCTTTTCGGGGCTTCAAAAACGTGTGCACTGACCGCGGGTCGAACCACATATGACACAAGCCCGAGCCATGGCCGTGCCCGTGCCAACCAGCCGCCCACCATTGTAACTTATTGTTCTCTAAAAAAGAAAGAGCAATAAATTCAGTCCAAGAATTTCCAGATATAATTGTCAACCCATTTTCGTTCGTAATTACGAGATATGTTTGGCGCAATTAGTGGCTAACTGGATTCTTTTTTTTGAGGAATAGTGGCAACTTGGTTTGATACATGCCAAACGTTACGTTCAGATTAGTTGCATTATTTCGTTCATTTTTTACGAAAAAAATCTATACAAAGTGTTAATTGAACAATGTGAACAATGTGGCACGAAGGTTGTCGGCCCAGCCAGTGGATGGAACGGATGGTACATGTACACGCAAGTACGATCTCTGACACGCACATTTCGGGTCCCTGTACATGTACATGTAAACCAACCCAACATTGATCCGGTTCAGTGGATGCATGCATGCTCTATGTGGCACGAAGTATGTCGGCCGAGCCAGTCGACGGACCAGATCAAAGCTACAAGAGGGACTCCATTGTAGACCAACGCTCCATCAATGTCCGGTGTGTGTGCTTCGTCAACCCTAAAACCCTCAAATCCTAAACCCTCATAACCCTAAACACCCCACCCCTCCCACTAAACCGTAAAAACTTTCAAATTTTTGCCCCACATGGAAACCATTACGCATGCAATCTCTATGTGGTCATGGGATGCCATGAAAGATTTTTGGGATTATACACGCAAGTACGATCTCTGACACGCATATTTCCGGCCTAGCATGTCAACACCCCGAAAGCACTAGCTGGGTTCCTCACCTGTATGAAACCAACCAAACATCGATCCGGTCCAGTGGATGGATGCATGCTCTATGTGGCACGAAGTTTGTCGGCCGAGCCAGTCAATGGACCGGACCGATGGAACCGGAGGGAATTCATTGTAGACCGACGCTCCATCAATGTCCGGTGTGTGTGCTACATCCACCGTAAGACAAACATAGTTCCGTTAACCCTAAAACCCTTAAAACCCTAAACCCTGATAACCCTAACCACCCTCCCCACTAAACCGTAAAAACATTCAAATTTTTGCCCCACATGGAAACCATTATGCATGCATTCTCTATGGGGTCATGGGATGCCATGAAAAAAGTTTGGGATTATACATGCAAGTACGATCTCTGACACGCGCATTTCGGGTCCCTGTACATGTACATGTAAACCAACCCAACATTGATCCGGTTCAGTGGATGCATGCATGCTCTATGTGGCACGAAGTATGTCGGCCGAGCCAGTCGACGGACCAGATCGATGCTACAGGAGGGACTCCATTGTAGACCAACGCTCCATCAATATCCGGTGTGTGTGCTCCGTCAACCCTAAAACCCTTAAACCCTAAACCCTGATAACCCTAAACCCCCCCACCCCTCCCACTAAACCGTAAAAACATTCAAATTTTTGCCCCACATGGAAACCATTATGCATGCATTCTCTATGTGGTCATGGGATGCCATGAAAGATTTATGGGATTATACACGCAAGTACAATCTCTGACACGCACATTTCCGGCCTAGCATGTCAACACCCCGAAAGCACTAGCTGGGTTCCTCACCTGTATGAAACCAACCAAACATCGATCCGGTCCAGTGGATGGATGCATGCTCTATGTGGCACGAAGTTTGTCGGCCGAGCCAGTCAACGGATCAAATCGATGCTACCAGAGGGAATCCATTGTAGACCAACGCTCCACCAATGTCCGGTGTGTGTGCTACGTCCACCGTAAGACAAACATAGTTCCGTCAACCCTAGAACCCTTAAACCCTAAACCCTGATAACCCTAACCCCACCCCCCACTAAACCGTAAAAACATTCAAAATTTTGCCCAACATGGAAACCATTATGCATTCATTCTCTATGTGGTTATGGGATGCCATTAAGAAAGTTTGGGATCATTAGTACATATACATGCAAGTACGTTCTCTGACACGCGCATTTCCGGGCTTGCATGTAAACACACAACCCTAAACCCTGATAACCCTAACCCCTGATAACCCTAAACCCCTAAACCCCTAATAACCCTAAACCCCTAAACCCTAAACCCCATAAACCCCACACCGAGTTCACAAAATTTTCTTATTTCTTTATATCATTTATCCAAATCTCACATAACTCACGCGGCCCACCCTCCCTAAATCCCGCAATTACAGCTCCGCATTCTAACCACCCGGGCTGTCCGCACCTCCCACGACCGCTGCAAGATCAGATCGGAGACGCCGGTCGCCCACGGAATACAGGAGTCGGCGGCCACCAGTCGCCACCCACCGACAACGTGATCTGAGGGCTCGGACGCCAGTGTTCTTCTCGCCGCCTCCTCCTCGCGTGAACGTGCCGTTTTTCCTTTGCACCGTCGACCGCGCTATATCGGCACTTATAGTTTCCGACGCACTAACCGCCGCCATCTACTCGGTGGCACCATCTCCGAGGTAAGGTCTTAGCTGATCGTAACTCTTTATAATCGTTGTCCGCCGATGCTTTAGTTGTTGAACCCTCATAGGTTTTCCACCCAAATAGGTTCTGTGCTTAAACCCATAAGTGGATCATATGTTAAATGACCCAGTTAATTTTGTTAAAATTAATTCTCTGCTAATTTTGTTATACATTTTCCAATTTTGTTCAGATTAATTGAGCCTGATTTTATCATTGCATACGAGGCAGCAATGTCAGTTTCAGATACGAACCTTAATAATGGAGAAAAGCCCATCTCCGAAATTACCGATGTGGTAAGTAATTTACTATTTGTGTACAATCGTTTCGTACACATAATTCATGTGTACTCAGTAATATTTAATGCCATGTAACAGGAACTCGCCGAAAAGCATGGTCATATGAAGTTAGTATGCTCACAGACAAGGTTCAGAAAAACCATGAAACTGTTGTCACAAGACCACAGAAAGTACATCATATCAGAAACCAGTCTTGGCGGTCTGACCCAGATGCATGAAGTGACTCTACGGCGCATAATGTTGGTTAGACTAGCCAAGAGCATAGATATGGACACGCAATTCATTACCATCGGTAAAACGCCAATTCCTATAACAAAAGAGGACGTGCAAGGTATATTTGGCATTCCGATAGAAGGGGAGGATATAGAGCCACATCTGGAAATGCAAACCGACACAGAATTGTTTACCGCCTATGCAAACAATGGGCAAATTTTGATTTCTGACCTTGAAACGGTGATCCGAGCATCCAAAGCCCCAGACGGCGATTTCCTGAGGCGGTTCATTCTGTACGCAATTGGTACTGTTCTAGCACCAACAGCACAACATTATGTGGACTCGAAATTTCTCAACCTCGTTACAGATCTTGAAAACCTTCGGAAATCTAACTGGGGATGTTTCACACTTAATCACTTCTTCAAGTCCGTTCACAAGTTTAGAAATCGAGATCACGTAAATCTACAAGGAAATCTAATTCTGCTCCAGGTTAGTGATAGATCACTACTTAATGTCCTTTAATTATTGTTCTGTTGCATATCTGTATGGTGATGAACTAATTTATTGTGTAGTATTGGTACTGGGAGCACATGCGTAGTGGCCGATTAATGTATGCTTCTAGACCCCCTCCATTGATCGCACGATAGGACGAAATGATGGCTACTTTAAGAAGCGATGCTTACGAGAAAGGAGGTCTTCATAACGGGCTGGTACCTACCTACAATTGAACTTTCTATATCCGATTTTTTATTTGGTACAAATGGTTCATTATATTTTAAAAAAATAGGTTGTCATGGAAATTTGTGCTCCTCAACGACCGTCCGAGAATTCTAATAATTTTCCAAGAAAAAAAGATGAACATGTGCATCAACATGATTCGTATCGAGCACCATCACAAGGACAGCAATTTAGTAGCTAGCAAGTATGTACTCCAAAGACTATTTGTTTTTGCAATATCACAAATAGGTGTCATGGAACCTCATTCATTTAGCTATTGTTACCAACGGGGTTTTATTTTGTTTACACAGATTGAAATGGTAGTTGAAGTCATGAATGCACGCATTGCTGATCATGAAAAGAAGGTATGCAGGAAGTTAACGGAAATTGAGCACAGATTTGATGTCAAATACCAGACTCTAGGTGAAGACTTGATCGACATGAAGACTAAAACTGGCACTAATCCTAGGTTGTCGAAGGCCGAGGACGAAATTAAAGACTTAAGGAGGGAACTCCATGTATGTCATACTGTGCATTTTGTATTTTTTTTATTTATATGTTCCTTCGTGTTCATTATTTTTTGCATTGTTACAGGACTTAAAATACGAATTTACAAGGAACCGACAATCAGTGTCACAAAAAGGAGGCGTGCAGGTGATCAAAATTGGCCCAACACGTTAATATCTAAAAATAACAAACTAATGATGAACTACCTTTGTTCATTGTAGGATCAAGTCAATGTGTGCAATTC